CTGTGTTTCTCATTTTCCTCCTGGCTGCGGATGTCTTTCTTAATCTTTTCAATGTCAGCCGCTTTACAAGACAGCTGACATGTCAGTTTTGCCCTCACAGCTTCTTTTAGCACATTGTGAAAATTCAGTCATAATAAGTTGGAACTCTGCTTCAGAGATCTTGTTATCTGCCAATGCTTTGGAAAGAAGCCAGTCAACCGTTTTACGTTTCACTATGGCGAGCATGACAATTTCTTGATGCTTCTTGATCTTTGAATCAAGCTTCTTGCTGGTGATTATCAGCCCTGAAGAAATCAAAGCGAAACAGCCACCAACACCACTTAGTGGAATTGTGGCCAGCAGCCCAATGACAGACAGAGCCAAACCAAAACTCGCGCTTGAAAATGCAGCTGAGAGAACGCTGGAGCCAACAGCGCTCCAGTTAACCACCTTTTTCGTTCGTTTATACTTTTTGTGAACCACTCGATAGTGGGCGACCTCGTTGTTCAGAGCGTTCAAATGTCATTGATTTTCTGCAACCGAAAGTCGGGCTGCAGTTGGGGGTAGAGAGGCTGTGGTGAAGCTTCAGGAGGACCGGACGGCAAAACATTCGCAGACGACATTGTATAAAAAGCATTTAAATTATTTCTAATTCAAATTCCAGAGGCAAGCCCTTGAAATGAAAGGGTTCGCCATCTTCATCTCTGACACTGAGGGTGATGCTATGTTCAAAGGTGTCTGTGGAGCAGTCATGCAAAACTTCTTGTGGGGGAGGATGATAGCTTACTTTTTCATAAGGCAAGCCTTTCATTTTAAATTTAGCCAAAACATCCCATTTTTTCCCATTCAAAAGGTTTTTGGTTTTGTTGATCAGATCACAATGAATGAAGTAAATGGATGGGCTGTTTAGCTTTTTGACATAAGTTAACACACCTAATGTCAGCCCAGTGCCAATCAACCTGGCCAAAGCGTGACTAACTGAAATTTGTTTTTTTGAGATTGGGTCCCATCATCATTTTTAGCACAGAATTGGGTTTATTTGGTTCTAATTCCAATTTTGCCTCGTTCTTATATTCTTTCAAACTCGTTGTTAGCTCTTTTGCGAGGCTATCAACACAGTGCTCTTAATTAGCGGTCGTCCGGTTGTCCGAGACGACCAAAAAGTTTACCGGGCAACCAATTTTTGGCAAAATCAAGAGGCTGGTTGCCCAAGTAAAAATCAACAGACAACCCAGCTAAAAATAGAAAATAAATTCATCATAAACAGCACCCGACTTACGTGACGGTTTTGTATTGTCAATGTCCGACACTGTGAAGTTCATAATAATTAATTTGCCTCAGCTAAGCGTTTGCCTGTGTTTTGGACATCTGTAAAATTTACAAAACATTGCCAGGTACGAAAATGTAAGAGAAAAACACAAAGTTTCATGTCTGGTGGCGATCAAGATCAAAGATGCCATTTTGAACATGCCACAACTCAAACCCAGACTTCCGCGAAAACCATTGGCGTACACTAAGAACTATGGGATTAGTTCAAGCTTGACCGCCATGTGATTCTACACGGCATGTAAATAAAGGTAGGATTGTTACAATAATTGTTGTCAAATTCTTTATTTCTTTACGATGGAGACAAAAATGGATGTGTTCTTGAGTAGTGCACTGAAATGTGTAGGTGAGGTAAACAGGCAAGCTCTGTACCAGACCCTTTGAAAGATATTTGCCCCGCTCTTTCTACATTATGCCATGAATTGGCAAGGCAACAAGAGATGAGTTTCATGAAATGTACTTTTGGAATCAGCTCTTCAAAGAGCTCAGTTTGTCCGTTCTTTTGCATGACAATCGTGAGGACAACCATTTTTCTTCTTCAAAGAAGATATATTGTACAAATATAACACATTCAAAATGGACTCCCACAAGAAAATTCAAAAATGGATGGAAACACCAGAGGCAAAAACTATAGAAACCGCGGCACAGAAGAGTGCATGGGCGGTGTTCACAAAAAAGTTTCTCAACATGGATAAAAGCAAGTTTGTTGCTCATGTTGAAGTTGATGAAAAAAATAACGTCAGCCAGAAATATTTTTTAGACAGCCCTACTTCATTGCAGAGCGTTTTTGGCTCGACAAAAATTTTTTTAGCGAACGGATGAAAAGTGTGCTCGGTTTGATGGGCGTGGTACGCTTTCCTTATCAATTGTCACTAATGAAAACAATAGCAGCATTGCCAATC